TTCAACCACACCAAACACATCACTTTTGCCCCCTATGGTTCCCAAAGAAGGCAAGTCCACCAGTACCACAAAAGCTAAATGTGCTACTTTCACTGGCAACTAGATGATGCCACCATTTTGGACTCAAATTCCCAGGGGGATAAACCAACTAATTCTATACTTGAAGATTTGTTTCCAGCATCAAAGCTCTTTGCTCCAGCCTTGCTGGCTTTTCTATTCCCCCACCCACTGCTGGGGTGCCTGCCACCCACTCTGTGTGCCCTTGCTCCGAAGCCAGCCAACCTCAGAAAACTGACTTGAGTACATGATGGCACAAAGTCTTTGGTTTCGTGTTGATGGCATCGCTTAGGCAAAATCACTGGAGTATGTGGGTGGATAGGAAGGGGCTAAAAGGGAAAGTGGAGGAGGGAGAATCTATAATATAGCTGGAAGGACAAGTGAGAGCAAAATCTACACGTGGAAGCAGGGGACACTGAAAATGTCTTGGGGTGGGGGCTAGTGCAAAGGGGCATAAATAAACCTGAAGGCAGGAAACCCTGTGGACTAGTGACAGCTGGTGAGTCAGGGCAGGGCTTAGACAGGGACACTCAGGCGCCAGGGAGCAGAAATCTCAGTTTAGCAAACATCTCAAGAAGTCAAAGGCCTAGAGGGGACAGCAGCTAGTGGAGGTATGTGATAGAACCTGACCAGAGGCCAAATTCCAGCTGTGAATCTGGACAATCTCCTCGGTGCTATCTTCAGAGGGTGAGGCCCTATAGCGGGGATGGGACTCAGGCCTGGGAGCTGTTCTCCCTCCATATCTTCAGCCTCCTGGGGATAAGCCAGGGACCCCAGCCTCCAGCTGTGCCAGCCTGGGCAGAGTGCTGGCTCACTGTGTCCAGCGGCAGAATATGGTGAGGAGGGGACTGAACTGTGTCCTGGGAGTGGGGATGGGTAGGGAGCTCTGCCACTACATCTTGGCTCTTCTTAAGTCCGAGGCTCTATGACTTGACCTCACCCAGCCTCAGCTCCAGCACCTACCACCAGACAAAAACCAATTCCTTACTGAATCAGATAGACAGATGCCCCTGCCTAAGCCCTCAGGTTCAGTATGGCGAGCTGAGGCATGGGGCAGTAGCTATCCAGTAGGTTTCTGGGGATTGGTGGCATTCTGGGATGATGCCAGTGGGCATGGGTAGGAAGCAAGTGAAGCTGGTCAGGACAGAGGAGACCCAGAGTTCCTTCCCAGGCCCCAGGCCTTTGACTGGATGCCCTGGGGAGCTTCAGCCTGAAGGGATCAGGGCAGGCTGCACACCTGGTTTCCTTGCCTGCTGAAACACATGCCCTGTGCCTTCTTGAGGCCACTACCAAATTGCAAGGCTGCAGACATTTACTCAGACTTGTCTCCTCCCTTCTCACAGTGTCTTTCCTTTGATGTGAAGTCTTGTCCCTAAGATCTAGGACCCTTAGTCTGTCTCTGGCTGCTTGCAACCCACTATCCTGGCTGCTTCCTGCCAATGCCAGCCTCCAAACTGCTTTCCGTCCTTCCTTTGTCAAAATCTTTCTTTCCCAGTTCTCCCTGGAAGGCACCTGATGTGCCCTCAAGTTGTGTGACACCGAAAGCCTGTCTTGTGATGGAACTCCCTGTCCCATGAATAGAAGACAACCTCTGTGGGGACATACCTCAGCTTCCCAGCGTGTCTCCAATGACCTCTTGTGGGTGGCCATCTATTTTGCCTGTGGGTAAGGTTGACCCTGCTTGTGGAGCACCGAGCCATCTTCATTGTTGGAATCTAAGCCAGGCAGGTACCCGCACCCCCAGGGTTCATTCTGAGTTAGTTAGAGGGGGAGGTGAAGGCTTATGGAAACCTCATGTCAGTTTTCACAGAGGTCCTGCAAGGCTTTAAGACATGAGAAGTACAGTATATTCATCGTGGCAGTGGGCTTTAATTTAACCTAAAATTGGTTTCTGCTCTATACAAGCCCACAGATGACTCAGGGTGGTGCCATTAACATGATTCAGAAAAGAGCTTTCAACTTAGGGACAGATTCAGGACACCTTTCCAGTCTGCTAACTAGATGTGGACTATTCTTTTCCAATTTTGATATTTCTCTGGCAATAAATCTCTAGTCCCAAGGGTATAAATGTGATCAGATATTTTAGATGTGGACTATTCTTTTCCAATTTTGATATTTCTCTGGCAATAAATCTCTAGTCCCAAGGGTATAAATGTGATCAGATATTTAAACAACTTGAGTCTTTAAAGACCTGTAGTTGAGAACTCTGTAAGGATCAACATTTTTGGCTTAAACATGTGACCAGACACACCTCTTGCACAATGTTCTTCCTTCAGATGTTCTAATTATCTCCTGAATTCAAACCAACCGAATAAACACCCTCTCCCCTGACCGCAATGGTGGCGAGGATAATTCTGGAGGTTTGTGGGCGTGAGTAGGAGACACATGCACAGAAGATGATTTCCAAGGCAATGATGAAGTCAGGCTTCAGGGAGGTTAAGCCACTTTGAAATTGATGGGAGCTCCTGGACAGTCCCTGCTCTTTTTCACTGCTATCCTCTCAGGGGGTGAGCCTGCTTGAGCTCCTCAGCAAAGGAAGCATACAGAGTTTTGCCCTTTGCTCCCAGGTAAGGGGCTCTCCAGAGGTCCAAGGAAGAAAAGCATGGATGCCTTGTGCTCCAGGTGGAGATGGAGTCCCACCTGACCTTCAGGGGTGGTCCTGACCCCCTGATCCAGGGATGTACTTCTACTGCTGGTACCGGAGGACCCCTCACAGTGTCACTCCTTTCAGGTCTGCACTTTCCTTTGGCTCAGAGTTCAGACCAGAGGGTGGAACCCCCAGTGAAGAACCACTGGTACTTATAGGGCTTTGGAGACCAGAGTTTCTCAGCCTCCTGAAATCTCAGTGCTCTCCCCCACACTGGATTTGCGCCATATTCTGCCACCTATTCTACCTCAGTGAGAGACTCTTCTCCATGAATCCGTATTTTAAAACTTCCTCGTGCTTTTCAGCATTAAAGATCTCCCTAATTGCTTGCTTCTATGTGGCCTCTCAGCAAAGACCCGCTGTCTGCCTCTGCCCTACCTACCCCAGGCCCTCTCTCCCCTTCACACCCCTTGCTGATGGGCCCCTGGGGCTTGCCCTGTCCTCTCCAGTCTGCATGCCACAGGAAGGGGCTACTCCTCTAGCCCTCTGCAAGCTTAATTTTAAGTCATTTTGTTGTCCTGGAAGCCAAATTGAAGTTTCAATCATTTTTTTAGCGCTGGCTGATCCGTCCCTGAACTTGTACTGGATTCCCATATGCTGGGCCTGGATTCTTTACTTGGGTCTAGTTCCCAGTTTTCTTTGGGTTGATTAACGGAGATTAAACCTGAATTAATATGTCACCCTCAGATTGGAGACTCTACGTTTTCCTCCTCCTCTGCCTGGCCTCTGGTGTCAGGCTTGTCCTCATTTTGTCAGGGGCAGAGTTCATCTTGTCCTTAAAGCCACCTGCAGAGACTCTGGGGAGAGGGGCCTGGCAGGCTGGCATGTGCAGTGAGCCGTGGCTCACACCCACAGCATGGGCTTGGCATAGCGGGCCACAGAGCTAGCTATGTGAGAGATGGGCAGGGGTGGGGGTGATGGAAACCACAAAAGAAGGTGAACCTAAATCTAGCCTGTTCCAAGCTGTGTGCTAGCCAGTGAAAAATCATAGAAACCGCAGAAGAAAACAGGTGAGGAATGGTGACAGGGCTGAGTGTTCAGAGACGGTCAACCCACCACGCTCTAGTCTGGCCAAGGTCTGGGCCACGCTCTTCAGCTGAGAGGTA